AAGAGTGAGGGGGCGGGCGCGGGGTGGGTCGCGGGTGGGTCGCGGGTGGGTCGTGGGGTGGGTCGTGGGTGGGTCGCGGAGTGGGTCGCGGGTGGGTCGCGGAGTGGGTCGCGGGTGGGTCGCGGGGTGGGTCGTGGGTGGGTCGCGGGTGGGTCGCGCGGGTGGGTCGCGGGGTGGGTCGCGGGTGGGTCGCGGGGTGGGTCGCGGAGCGGGGGGGGGACGCAACAAAACAACAACAAGAATCCTCGCCGTGGATCCCCACTTCAGCCACGCACCCAAGGACAGTGAATGACCGTTCGGGGCCCCTCACTCTGATGTTCCGCCAAATCTTTTTTTTTCTGACGTCATGGGGCGCACGTAGATATACTAGTATGATACCGGAGAAACGCCCCAATCATAATATGTTTAGGGCTGTAGGGCTATGGGGCTATACGATTATAGGACCATAGGGCTACGGCTATAGGACTATAGGGCTATAGGCTATAGGAACATAGGGCTATAGGGCTACAAGGCAATAAGGCTATAGGGCCATAGGCCTATGCCATAGGCCTATAAGGGCTACAGGGTTATAGGGCTATAGGGCTATAGGGCATAAGGACTATAGGGCTATAGGGTTATAGGGCTATTAGGGTTATTAGGGTTATAGGGCTATGGGGCTATATGGCTATAGGTCTATAGGTCTATAGGGATATAGGGCTATAGAGCTATAGGGCTATAGGGCGATAGGGCACTCGGGAAGCACCCGGGCACCCCAGGGCATCTCCGGGCACCCCTGGGCACCTCCGGGCACCCCCGGACACCCAGGCACACAGGCACCCCCGGGCACCTGGGCACCCGGGCGTGCAGCGAAAATCGGCGGCAAACCTAACCTAACCATATGAATCCACTAGGACCCCTACAGAGGCAAGCTCTGATTGGGGAACTATATGTCCTCCTCGGAGGCGCGCGTCCGACCCGAACATATAGTATGCCCATCTTGTAGTATATCGTTTCCCGAACGGTGTGCCTAGAAAGCACCGGCCACGACGCATATACTATAAAATTTCTCGGTGCGCGCGTCGCCCCTGGGGGGGTGACGCACATATAGTACAAGTATGTTGGGGTAACGCCGACGTCTGGCAACCTTATCAGATCGACTTGGATCGTAGAGTCAGGATGGTAGAAATACTGCAATGCAAAACATGCGCTGGCTTAGGCGCTGTGGCCTGCAACTTCGACCTGGGTGAGCGCAGATGGAAAACGGAAGGCAAAAAAGAGACTGCGGAAATGGAAAAAGGGCCTGTAAGGGCGTGAAGCATGCGCGCTCACCTGGTCGTAGAGAAGGTGAAGGAGCTGATCATGACCCGATCCTCCTCCCCCACCTCACCCTCCGATCCGAAGCCTCCACCTCCACCACCACCTCTTCTTCCTCCTCCACCTCCTCCTCCGACTCTATCCTCTTCCACCTCTACCTCCTCATCCTCCTCCACCTCTTCTTCATCCAACTCCACCTTCTCCTCTTCCTCCTCCTCCTCCTCCTCCTCCTACTGCTCCTCGTATAGCTCCTCCTCCTCCTCCTGCCGCGTCCTCCTCATCGTCGCCGTCCTCCTCCTCCTCCGCCTCCTCCTCCTCCGTCTCTGCCTCCTCCGTCCATCCTCGTGGCACCAGCACGCGCGTTGGCAGGGCGGGCTGTCCGCCTCGTCCCGAGGCTTCCCCACCGCTCATGCCACTGAGGCTTCCAGCGTGCCACGGCTGCACGAACGGCGGATGGTATGGCGACGAGAGCTAAACATATCCGCCACCACTGGCCTGGCCAGCGGCGGTGGATGATCGGAGGTGAGGGGGTGAGATCGAAGTGGAACGGAGAGCCCCCTTACCGGGAAATCGATTTCGGTTTCGTGTTCGTGCGTGCCGTGCGTGCGGGCGAGGCGAAGCTGCGTGGGCGGGCGAGAGGAAAGTCTCCTGTGGCTGAGGCGCGGCTGGACCAAATGATTCCCTTCCGGGCGGCCGGGGCCCCGCGGTGTCCCGCCGGTGTCCCGCTGGTGTCCCGTGTGGCTGAGGCGCGGCCGGACCAAATGATTCCCTTCCGGGCGGCCGGGGCCCCGCGGTGTCCCGCCAGTGCCCCGTCGGTGTCCCGATTATGGTGATGATATTGATGATGATGATGGTGATGATTATTACGATGTTGATGTTTTGTTCTGATGATCGATAGTGAGATCGGTAGTGATATCGATTGTGATATCGATTGTGAGATCGAATGTCAGATCGCTTGTGAGATCGATTGTGAGATCGATTGTGATATCGATTGTGAGATCGATAATGAGATCGATAGTGAGATCGGTTGTGAGACCGAATGGGATATCGATTATGAGATCGATTGTGATATCGATAGTGAGATCGATAGTGACACCGAATGTGAGATCGATTGTGGAATCTATTGTGAGATCGATAGTCAGATCGATTGTGAGATCGATCGATTGAGTTAGTAGTGAGATCACTATCGGTAATGAGATCGGTAGTGATTTCGATAGTGAGATCGATGATGAGACCGAATGTGAGATCGATTGTGAGTTCGGTTGTGATATCGATAGTGAGATCGATAGTGAGATCGATAATGAGATCGAAAGTGAGTTCGATAGAGAGATCGATAGTGAGGCCGAATGCGAGATCGATTGTGAGATCGATTGTGATATCGATAGTGAGATCGATAGTGAGACCGAATGTGAGATCGATAATGAGATCGATAGTGAGTTTGATAGTGAGATCGATAGTCAGATCGAATGCGAGATCGATTGTGATATCGATTGTGAGATCAATAGCGAGACCGAATGTGAGATCGATTGTGGGATCGATTGTGAGATTTATTGTGAGATCGATAGTCAGATCGATTGTGAGATCTATCGATTGAGATCGATTGTGAGATCGGTAGTGAGTTCGATAGTGAGATCAATCGAGTGCGACGTTGGTCCCTCCCCCCCCCCTCACCTCCTTATCACCCGAAGGGTGGTCTATGCGGTACGTATAGATTTCGTCGCCCTAGGTGGTCGGTTTTCAAAACCGTGGCTCTCGCTGTATGTAACACAAAGCGAATTGGTCAGACATTCTTCCAGCAGCCGTAAAGATAAAAGGCGGGGCTGTTTCCAGGACGTGGCTGTAGCACGAGCTGCGAACACATCCGCGCTGAAGCTTCTGGCAACTGCGCAGGGAGAGGGTGGATCCTTTTCTTGCCTGAGCGCAACGTACGTTTGCATGCATGGCTTCCAACGGTTCAGAGAATGTAAGGCGGATCGGGTTTCAAAATGTGGCTTTCGCCTTAGAAACGCCCACACGCGTGTTGAAATTCTCCATCGGCTACAATGATGGATGACGGTGTGTGTATGAAAAGGGGGGCAAAGAAAGAGACCTCCTCAAACTGTACGGCCGAACTTTCAAGTACGCGCAACAGATACATCGGCGGAAAGCGGATGGTGTTTCACAATGGGTCCATCGCTTGCCAGGAGCGCAAGCTCTTGCAACGATTACACGGGTCGAGGGCGACTCCTCTTCAACCCACGGGTCTCGCTGGACGCTGGACACTTCCTTGACTTAATGATCCTGTCTTTGCATGTCTGGCTCGAAGGATGAGGGTCACCTTCCGTGGTAAGAAGGAATGTAGGCAGGGACTTGCGAGCAGGCCTGGGACAGAAGGGTGCGTTGCAGCACCGCTGATGCATTCCAGGTTTGCACTGCTCCTCCTCCTCCTCCTCCTTCTCCTTCTTCTCCTCGTCATCCTCCCACTCCTCTTCATCCTCTTCCTCCTCCTCCTCCTCCTCCTCCTCCTCCTCCTCCTCCCCCTCCTCCTCTTGGAGGAGAGGGAGCTCAAAATAGGTCCATAGACGCCTTCCAAGGTCCAAACGCACCGGTTGTCCGAGCCGCGTCCAGACCCGACAACGAGGGGGCACCCCAAAGGCCAACTACCATTGCCTCAGCTCGCCCTCCTCTGATTATACTTCTCATCCCCCTTCTCCTCCTCCTTCTCCTCCTCCTCCTCCTCCTCCTCCTCCTCCTCCTCATCATCATCATCATCATCATCATCCTCCTCCCTCTTGTGAAGAGCGGCCCCACCGCTCTCCGCATGGGTGCCAGCGAAGTCTACCAGTGCGCAGCGCAACCGTTGCCTGGCGCCATGCCGCCCAGCAACAGCCGCTCGCTCGCGAGGGGGGTCGGGGCCGATAGGCTGAGCCTCCTCCTCCTCCTCCTCCTCCTCCTCCTACTCCTCCTCCTCATCCTCCTCGTTCTCCTCCACCTCGTTTTCCCTCCTCTCCTCCTCCTCCTCCTCTCTCCACCTCTCCTCCTCCTCCTCCTCCTCCTCCTCCTCCTCCTCCTCCTCCTCCCCTCCCCTCCCCTCCCCCTCCCCCTCCCCTCCCCCCTCCCTCCTCCTCCCTCCTCCTCCTCCTCCTCCTCCTCCTCCTCCTCCTTCCTCCTCCTCCTCCTACTCCTCCTCCTCCTCCTCCTCCTCCTCTCCTCCTCCTCCTCCTCCTCCTCCTCCTCCTCCTCCTCTCCCTCCCTCCCTCCTCCCTCTCCTCCTCCTCCCTCTCCTCCTCCTCCCTCTCCTCCTCCTCCTCCTCCTCCTCCTCCTCCTCCTCCTCCTCCTCCTCCTCCTCCTCCTCCTCCCTTCCTCCTCTCCTCCTCTCCTCCTCCTCCTCCTCCTCATCCTCGTCCTCCTCCTCCTCCTCATCCTCCTCCTCCTCCTCCTCCGCCTCCTCCTCCTCCTCCTCCTCCTCCTCCCTCCTCCTCCTCCTCTCGTCCTCTCCTTCTCCTCCTCCTCCTCCTCCTCCTCCTCCTCCTCCTCCCTCCCTCCTCCTCTCCTCCTCCTCCTCCTCCCTCCTCCTCCTCCCCTCCTCCTCCTCCTCCTCCTCCTCCTCCTCCTCATCCTCCTCCTCCTCCTCCTCCTCCTCCTCCTCCTCCTCCTTCTCCTCCTCCTCTTCCTCCCTCCCTCCTCTCCTCATCCTCGCCCTGGGAGGGAGAGGCGGCGGAAGAGCCTTCAGGCCCGCCGCGCCCGCCTCCGCCTCCGCGCTCTCCCGCCTGCTCCGCCGCGGGCGTGGGCTGTCCCGTCCTCGCGCGCCCGGTGGCCGCCGCGCTCTTGGCGCCGCGCCTGCCCCCGCGGTCGCGCAGACGAGAGGGAGTTATACTTCGGTCGGGCATGTCCTCCTACAGAGGGCTTTGGACGAACAATTAGGAATATCCAGACATGCACAAACATGGCCAAACAAATTCTAGAAAGATCGTCCCCAGACTATTTTGTCATCTATTTGAACGTTCCTCTTGTAGAGGGACGTGCCCGACTTAGAGGTAAACGGCGACGAGACCTACAGATAATTATCCGCCGCCGCTGGCAAGGCCAGCGGCAGTGCATGTGTGCACACCTCGTCGCCGTAGAGTTCGACGGCAACTCAGGGAAGCCTTCGGTCGTCCCCACGGCGCCCAATAACGCGCCGAATCGTGCGCAGAGCGGACAAACTGCATCTCCCTCGCGTGGCGCTATTGGGCGGTGTTGGTCGCTATTGGGCGTTCTTTGAGCGCTCTTCGGCACTACAGGGGACTGTTAGGCGCCCGCTTACTAGGCGCTGCTCTCCGATATAACCTCGATGGGTCCCTAGTAGCCCCCCTATACAGTGAAGGCCAGTCCACAAGAAACAATCCACAAGAAACCCAACCCTGAGACCCCAGGACGTTCATGGATGTTTGGATATGTTTGGTGTGGGGACGTCACGCTTCCCATAGCAAAACCACCGCCTCACAAGAAACCCAGGGCAATTGAGGCAGGCAGGGTGTTTCTTGGCATGGGTCTCCACTGTAATTGAAGGAAGCCGACACCCAACAATAATCGGCAAAGAGGAGACAACCCAGAGTTTTCGATTGGGGGCGGGCCAGTAGGAGTAAAGACCTCCTGAAGTTACATTCAATCCAAGACGAGCAGAAGCTTCCGTGACTCACAATCTAACTGAAAGTGTCCCAGACATGCTCGCGTTGAAAAACAAGAAAAACACGGCGGATGGATTTTCACCGTTTTCGGCCTCTGGGGGCCATCGCCGAACCCCGGGACCGTCAAAACCAACTCAGAATGAGAAACCAGTCCCAGGGAATAGGCCGAAACCTCTGGGAGTCCACGTCATGACAGAGTCATGGCGTCGTGTGTCTTGGTGGAACGGTCAGGAGCCAACTTCTGGGAGGCCTTGGAAAGAACGATTGACGGCTTTCAGGCCAGACCGAGGGACCAAACCAGGCAGAAGAGGATCGGGTCGGACGAGAGGGGGGATAACTCGGTGGGGGGATATGGCAAATCAGCCCACGCTGACTTCTCTGGCGCCTCCTCGCGCCGGAGGCGCCGGTCCATAGAGGAATGCCACGACTGCCGCACGCAGCAGATTTCGTAACCCCCCCTTTCCCTACCACCCCCTTGCTTCCGACCGGGGAGCCCCAAGAGGGGCAGTACGAGCTGGCATCTCAAGTCTTTCCCGCCGTGATGGCTCCAAGAGCCCCCCGGTGACCCACGGGGCGCCCGTGAAAGGCCCCACGAGGCTTCTCAGATGCACCAGAGATGCACCCAAGAGACCATCGAAAGGCTCTTTACTCCTCCTCCTCCTCCTCCTCCTCCTCCTCCTCCTCCTCCTCCCTCCTCCTCCTCCTCCTCCTCCATTCTCCTCCTCCTCCTCCTCATTCTCCTCCTCGTCCTCCTCCTCCTCCTCCTCCTCCTCCTCCTCCTCCTCCTCCTCCTCCCTCCGTCCCCCCGAAGCCAAGGAGATGCCCCTTAAGGGCCCTCCCAGATTCCCCCATGAGGCAGCTGCAGGGAGGCCCACATCTGCACATCCCAGGGGCTCCTGACCCATAGGCCAGGCACGGCGGTACGAGTCTTGACGAAATCCCTGTTACGGGGGTCGACGGACTCCTCCTCCTCCTTCTCCTCCTCTTCCTCCTGCTCCTCCTCCTCATCATCATCCTCCTTCTCCTCCTCCTCCTCGTCCTCCTCCTCCTCCTCCTCCTCCCTCCTCCTCTCGTCTCCTCCTCCTCCTCATCCTCCTCCCCTCCTCTCCTCCGCTACTCCTCTTCCTCTCCTACTCCTCCCATCCTCCTCCTCCCCCTCCTCCTCCCTTCTCCTCTCTCCCTCCTCATCTCCTCCCTCGTCCTCCTCCCCCTTCTCCTACTCTTCCTCATCTCCTCCTGCTCCTCCTCATCATCATCATCCTCCTTCTCCTCCTCCTCTCGTCCTCATCCTCCTCATCCTCCTCCTCCTCCTCCTCCTCACTCCTCCTCGTCATCCTCCTCCTCCTCCTCTCCTCCTCCTCTCTCCTCTTCCTCCTCTTCCTTCCTCCTCTACTCCTCCTCATCCTCCTCCTCCTCTCTATTCCTCCTCCTCTCCTCCTCTCTCCTCCTCCTCCTCCTCCTCCTCCTCCTCCTCCTCTTCCTCCTCTCCTCCTCCTCCTCTTCCTCCTCCTCGTCCTCCTCCCCCTTCTCCTACTCCTCTTATTTTTCCTCCTCCTCATCCTCCTAGCCCTTTCGCCTCGAGAGTTCGAGGTTGGCCGAGGTCACTTCCAAGGGACGCAGCTCGGCCGAGCCATGGCGGCATCGTGATATTCCAGGCTGGGTGCTTCTCGAGGGCTTCGGCGTCGTGGTCGAGATGACTCTTGGCGAGGGCGCCCAGCTGCTGATATTGTTCGTGGTTCTCTTCATCTGGGTGGAGGTGGTGGCTGCGAATCACATTTCCTTCTTCGAGGGGCTTCGTGTGGCACCAGTCACTGATGTGTGGTTCGGCGTACCCTTAGTGATCGACAACTGCTTCGGGGTGGTCTCATCGGAGGTCCTCTTCGTGGGGGGTGTCGAGTCGGCGGAATTGGAGTACGCCGTGTGGCTCGGCCGCCTCTGGGTGGCAGCGGGATGCTGCTGGAGATCTTCGTCCTACTACTTCGTCTGCAGGTTGTGCGGTTCACAGGGGATGGTCGGATCGTTCATCGGGGTGCGCGTGCGATGCTGAGGCTCATCTCCTCCATGTGCTGGTGGCATGTCCAGCTTGGCGTCGGGCCCGCGATGGCCAGGCTCGGCTTCGAGCCGTCCGCCGACGGCGGGACCGAGGAGCTGAGCCTTGAGACGTGAAGGGGGCAGCGGCGGGGGGGGGGGCGGAACCCTCCCGTGGGCCCCCGCCAGGGACGGAACCTGGCCTCGCCTCGCTGAGGTTGCAGCTGGTGCCGCAGCTTCGGCTGGCGCAGTCGGGGACCGTACCTGGTACGCGTACCTCTTTGGAGGGCCTGGTGGCATACTCGGGGGGTCCTCCCTTCTCTCGCCAGACGCGACAGCCTGACGGCCAAGCTCCCGACTGCCCTACTGCCCTCTTTTTCCTCCTCATCCTCCTAACAACATTGCGTAACGTACGTCGCGCCCCCCTCTCCGCCGAGCCCAAAGCTGACCCTTCCACAGTTTATCCCTCCGCGCGTTGCCTCGCGTGTACCCTTGCCAACTTTGAGCTGGGAGGGAGGGGGGCCATTGATTGTTGGGATGCACTTCCTCGTATTCTGTCTTGGCGCGATGGGCATGAAGGACGGACGATGACGATTGAAGACGACGACAACGACAGAAGGCGACGACGATGACGACAAACACCGACGATGACGGGCGATGACAGACGACCAACAGCAGCCGGCGACGACGGCGGGCCAAAAGTCTAAAAACTTTGACTCTGGATCCGCGAAGCTCGGGGATTGAGGAGACTCTCAAAAGGCCGTTGAAAACCCTCGAATATCCACGAGAGTCCTCGAAGCCCTTCCAGAGCCCTCGACAGTGACGGCGACGACGTCGACGACGACGAGGACGGGCAATGGGCATGGACACTTGTTCGTCCTCCCACCGAAGGGCACCGCGTGCAGGCGCATCGCAAAACCGACAAGGAGCAAAGACGGCGGGGGTTGGCGGAGCAGCCGCCGCTGTCGACGAGAGCCCTGGTCTTCGTCGTCGTCATCGTCCTCCTCGATATTGTCGTCGTCGTCGTCGAAGTCGTCGTCGTCGTCCTCGTCCTCATCGTCGTCGTCGTCGTCGGTCGTCGAAAGCCCTCGAGTGCCTTCGAGGGCCTCCGAGCGCCTTCGAGGACCCTCGCAAGGCTCCTCGGTCCTCGGGCTTCGGGGATCGAGGACTAGGGTTTGTGGGCGGCTGCGAGGGCGGAATCCACGGAGGACGGACGACGGCGCACGGCGGCGGCGGCAACGGCGAAGACGTCACCGTGAGCATTCACCGAAGGCGACAATGACGACGACGATCCTGACGACGACGACGAATCAGTTGATGACGTGGCAGGGATTGGGGGCGGGGGGCGCGGGGCGTCGAAGGGAAGCGAGGTAGAGAGCCAGGGCGAGCAACTGAGAGAAGAGGGCGAAATATATCAATGGGGCATGGAGGGCGAGACCTGTTCCTTGATCAGCTTTTCCGTCGTCAGCGAGGCGGGGCAATCCGCTCCAGCGTGGCAGCGACGCAGGGGCACTACAAAGCGAATTGGCCGGCATGCAGAAAGGGGGGGGGAGGACGGGCAGGGCGGCCGCGGGGGAGAGGGGAGGGCGAGCACTCCGAGGCGGAGGGCTTCTGTCGTGAGCAGCCGGAGCGGCCCGCGGGCTCTTCCTTGATCACACGAGTACTCTCAAGCTGCTGTTTGAGTCGTCTTCGCACGGGCGAGGCGGGCGGACTGGCACTTCTGAAGGTTCTCTTCCACCGCGATTAGCTGGCCCTGGATCCCCGAGATGAGCCCATGAAGCGCATGAGGGCCAGTGTTTAGAGGGCAGAAAAAATCCACCCTCATAATTATCACCCCGACGCGCCAGGTCGTTCAGCCAACGCACCCAAAGAAGGAATCGAATAGGGCAGGGCTGTTTAGTAAACGCCCAGGGCCGTTCAGCAAACGCTGATTGTCGGGTCCGGGTGGTTCTTCCTCCCTTGAAAGCTGGCTCTGGACCCCCGAGACCAATCCATGACGCGCACGAGAGCCAGTCGTGACAGGCGCCGATCGCCTGCTCCCCTCCTCCTGCTGGGGGAGCTGATCGGCTCACGGAGGGCCATGCATGCAGTCGTTCTCCAGTGCCCAGCGGCGGCGGCGTGCCCCCAGTCGGTCTCGAGCCGTCTTGGAGCGTCAAAAAGCCGAAAACACGAGAGAAGGCGAAAATCCTACAAATCGTAGCATCAGCCATTTTGACCTCTTGGGGCTCTCTCGGGAAACTACCACCGCTGCCCGACAACAGAAGCAGGCAAGACAGGAGCCCTGGGCCCCCGCGATGCGCGCAGCACCCCCAGCGGGGAAGGGAGGGAGCACGAGGGCCCTCTAGGTGCGCGGCGGAGCGCGGAGTGGGGAGTGGCCGCGGTGGGCAGGGGGTCCTCCTCCTCCTCCTCCCCCTCCTCCCCCTCCTCTTCCTCACCTCCTCCTCCTCCTCCTCCTCCTCTCCTCCTACTCCTCCTCCGCCTCCTCCTCCTCCTCCCCTCCTCCTCCTCCTCCCCCTCCCCCTCCCCTCCCCCTCCCCCTCCCCCTACCCTCCTCCCTCCTCCTCCTCCTCCTCTCCTCCTCTCCTCCTCCTCCGCCGCCGCCTCCTCCTCCTCCTCATCCTCCTCCTCCTCCCCTCCTCCTCCTCTCCTCCTCCTCCTCTCCCCTCCTCCTTCCTCCTCTCCTCCTCCTCCTCCTCCTCCTCCTCCTCCTCCTCTCCTCCTCCTCCCTCCTCCTCCTTCCCTCCTCTCCTCCTCTCCTCCTCCTCTCTCACCTCTCCTCCTCCTCCCCTCCTCCTCCTCCTCCTCCTCCTCCGCCTCCTCCTCCTCCTCCTCTCCTCCTCCTCCTCCTCCTCCTCCTCCTCCTCCTCTCCTCCTCCTCCTCCTCCTCCTCCTCTCCTCCTCCTCCCTCCCCTCCCCTCCTCCTCCTCCTCCTCTCCTCCGCCTCCTCCTCCTCCTCCTCCTCCCTCCTCCGACCTCCTCCTCTCCTCCCTCCTCCTCTCCTCCTCCTCCCTCCTCCTCCTCCTCCTCCTCCTCCTCCTCCTCCTCTCCTCCTCCGCCTCCTCCTCCTCTCTCCTCTCCTCCTCCTCCTTCCTCCTCCTCCTATCCTCCTCTCTCCTCCTCCTCCTCCTCTCCTCCTCCCTCCTCCTCCTCCTCCTTCCTCCCCTCCTCCTCCTCCTCTCTCTCCTCCTCCTCCTCCTCCTCCTCCCCCTCCTTGGGACAAGATGGCTCGAGCCAAGATGGCCACGGTGAGGGAAGGGGCGCGGTGTGGACATCCCCTGGCGGCCCAAGCGGCCACTTGCATAGACCGAAACGCACAGCGGCATACCAGAGGGGAAGAGGAGGGGGGGGGGCACGCCAGGCGCGCTTGCGTCATACCTGACATCCGACCCCCCCCCCCCCCCCCTCCCCGTTGCGCCGATTGTTGATCTATCCGGGGACGCGTGTCCTAGCGGACCTGGACCCCCAAAGACGACCCCATCGTCCTGTGCGCAATCGAAACCAGGGAATTGCGCACATTGGAGAAACAGGTGGCAAACTGGCAAGGGGATGAGCTAGAAGAAAAAACAAAAAACAGCATGAACATCAGCTTTTGGCGCTCCGCGCGGATTTCTCGGATCCGCGCTGGGCCCACCGGGCGGCGCCTCCGGAGCCGCCCCTGGCGCGCTCCGCTTTGAGCGCTAACAGTTTATGCATATGCCGTTGTTTCTTCTTCGATGAGCAGGAGGAAAGGAAAAGGAGGATGAGGGCGGGGGGAGAAAGCGACCGGGATGTGAGGGCGAAGGGAAGCGCGGGCACCGGGGTATGCAGGGAGGGCGAAACAAGGAGGCGAGGGCCTGAGCGAAGGGGGTAGAGCATTGACGGCAGGAAGTCCTGGAAATGGTCGGACGCGCGTAAATACGACGCGACAAATCTCGAGCGGAGGATTCCAGGAGCGGTAAAGCACCCGCACCTTCGACGAGGTGGCCGTGGATGGGGGACCCTGGGCCGCAGAGAAGCACGCGTGAGTTGGAGCACGCTCGCGCGATCGCACGACGTCTTCAGGAGGGAGGCAGAGGCACAAACTAGCTGGTGGGAGGACTCATATGGACGCCCGAGATGGGCACGGAAACACTGGGCACAATGCCCAACAGCAAATGTTGTCCCGAACCAGCAGCGGCCGCTGTTGGGCAGGCGGCCTTCTGTCTCAAATGGACACAGGCCGCGGCGGCGCGGACAGCGAGTCCTGTTCAAGATGAACAGGAACTGCTGCTGGGCATTGTACCCATTCTTTCCGTACCCATTTCGGGCGTCCAAGACTCATCTGAGATAGCCCTCTGCAAAGCATCCACCGGCAAGCGATACCGTTTCGTAAACGCACGACCCAAAGAAGGAATCGAGCAGGGCAAAGCTGCTTCGTAAACACCGCCGCAGCCGCCGCCGCCGCCGCCGCCGCCGCCGCCGCCGCCGTCGTCGTCGTCGTCGTCGTCGTCGTCGTCGTCGTCGTCGTCGTCGTCGTCGTCGTCGTCGTCGTCGTCGTCGTTGTCGTTGTCGTCGTCGCCGTCGCCACCGCCGCCGCTGCGCGCGCTCGCGGTGGAAACTCCCAGGCTCGGCCGGCGGGGCGGAGTCCTGGCGGGCCCGGCCGGCTGCGGGACGTCGAGGAGCTCCTCCTCGGGACGGGCGAGGGTGGGGGGTGCGTCGGCAGATCTAGGGGCGGGCCCCCCTCCTCCTCCTCCTCCTCCCTCCTCCTACTCCTCCTCCGACCTCCTCCACCTCCTCCTCTGGGGGGGGGGGGGGGGCGTCCGCAGGGCCCCCCGAGGATCTCGCTGGAGCGCTGAAGCATTGGTTGCGTTATGCTGTCAGGAACTTTTGCTTCGCGGGTCGCGGCGGCGGCCTGGGCGGTGCGCTCTCCCCTGCAAACGGGCAGCATGCTCCGCCCCGCGGGGCGGGAGGCTCGGGCAAGCTCGGGACGCGACGCTCGGTGACCCGGAGGTGGATGGCGTGTCGCTCCGGATCGCGAATGGCAAGAAGAGGTTGAGCGACGCGGTGTCCAAAAGTTCTCGACCGCAATCGGCTCCTCGCGAAACAACAACACATGTCTGGCCATGTCGGGTATAGGTTGACAGCTCTACATACAGTAGGGGCCCGATCACAGGAAACCTTCCACAAGAAACCCAACCCTGAGACCCCAGGACGTCCATCGACTTTTGGGTGAGAACGCCACGCCTCCCACGGCAGAACCATCGACCCCCAAGAGACCCGGGGCACTCTGGAGGCAAGCAGGGTGCTTCTTGGCATGGGCCTCCACTCTACGCCAGGAGGCGAGGAGGAGGAGGAGGAGGAGAAGAGGAGGAGGAGGAGGAGGAGGAGGAGAGCAGAGGAGGAGGGGGAGGGGGAGGGTGGAGGGGAAGGAGGAGGAGTGAGGAGGAGGGAGGAGGAGGAGGAGGAGGAGGAGGGAGGAGGAGGAGGAGGAGGAGGAGGAGGGAGGAGGAGGCAGGAGAGGAGGAGGAGGAGGAGGAGGAGGAGGAGGAGGAGGAGGAGGCAAGAGAGGGAGGAGGATGGAGCCCCAAGGAGGAGGAGACCAAGGAGGAGGAGTGGGAGGGGAGGAGGAGGAGGGGAGGAGGCGGAGGAGGAGGAGGAAGGAGGAGGAGGAGGAAGGAGGAGGGGGGGTAGGGGAGGAGGGGGAGGAGGAGGAGGGGGAGGGGGAGGGGGGAGGAGCGGGGACGAGAGGGAGGAGGAGGGGGGGAGGAGGAGGAGGGAGGAGGAGGAGGAGGAGGAGGAGGAGGAGGAGGAGGAGGAGGAGCCAAGGAGGAGGAGGAGGAGGAGGAGCCCAAGGAGGAGGAGGCCAAGGAGGAGGAGTGGGAGGAGGAGGAGGAGGAGGGGGAGGAGGAGGAGGAGTAGGAGAGGAGGCGGAGGAGGAGGAGGGGGAGGAGGAGGAAGAGAATGAGGAGGAGGAAGAGAATGAGGAGGAGGAGGAGGAGGAGGAGGAGGAGGAGGAGGAGGAGCAGGGTGCTTCTTGGTGGGCCTCCACTGCATGGTGCACGAGGAGCCACGCCTGCATCTCCGAGCGGGGTGCAGAGGCCGGGAGGGGGCATGCCACTCCTTGACTTAGGTCGGGCATGTCCCCCTACAGGCCGATGTTGGACGATCATGTTTTAAAACAAAAACTCCAACAATGCCCAACAATATTCGACAAATACTAGGAAATCGTCCTCATACTATTGTTTGGCTACTTTTGAATACTCCTCCTGTAGAGGGACACGCCCGACTCAATCCTTGACCAGAGCCTTGCCCCGATGTGCGGCCACCGCGATCGCGCTGCGACCCCTCGGGCGCGGCCGCACCAACCCCTGGCAGACCATCCTCTTCCGTGATGCCACCCTTGTCTCTCAAGCTCTCCTCCGGCCGCATGCATAATGCGGGATGACGATTAATAAAACATGGGAGAGAACGATTTTAAACAAATAGTTGTCTGCTATTTCTGCACAAGTGTCTGGCTGGAGGAGAACGATCGAGAAAAATAGCTTTCCAGCCCGCGGCCGGTGTTTTCTAATCGTCATCCCGGGCGCCGCCGCGTGAACACGACCCCTGGTCATTCATTAATCGTCATCCTCCATTGCGTCTTGGGGCGAGGCGAGGCGAGGGGGACGTCACGGAAGGGGATGGTCTGCTAGGGGTCGGTCAGGCCGCCCCTGGACCTCCCTAACATTTCCAGAGGTCTGAGTCGGGGTCGGATGTCACGCCACGAAGCGCGGACATCCCCTCAGATCCGGGCGCTGCACCAAGCATGGCGGCGGCCGTTTTTGTTGCGTGGTTTGCGGCCCTGGGTGCCTCCGACCCCCCCCCCAGCAATGCCCCCTGAGCCAATGATCGTCGTCGTCGGGCCCACCAGTGCCCCCTGAGCCACTGCCCCAGGGCGCAGCCGCCGGAGGGCATCCCGAGGCTCGAGCGCCGCCGAGAACGGACGACCTCGAAGCCCTCGGCGAGGCGCAGCCGCCGGAGAGCAGCCCGAGGCTCGAGCGCCGCCGAGAACCGACGACCTCGAAGCCCTCGGCGAGGCGCAGCCGCTGGAGAGCAGCCCGAGGCTCGAGAGGCCGCCGAGAACCGACGGTCTCGAGAACCGAACGCTGGCTGAGCCAACGTTCCCGCCCGCACCAGCCTGTGGCCCCACGCCCCACCACGCAGTCCCAGACCCCCGACGTCGTGTGACTTTTTCACAGCGTCGACCCCAAAGGTCTGAGTCCCAGCGTTTCATCCTGAAGCGCTTTTGGACGGTCCCGAGGCCTGGGAAGGGCCCCCAAGGGCCGAAAATGACGAACAACCTCCCGTCGCGATGTTCTCACAACGCGAGGGGGTCTTTTGGGGAGACAGAAAGGTACCCATACCGCTCCTCCCAGGACCTCTCCCGGGGTGCGCTCCGACCAGGAGTACGGGGCGAAACCAGCGGCGGCGACGACGGAGGCCCAGGAGGCGCAAAACGGGGAGAACGAGGGGAGGGTAGAGAGGTATGGGTACCGTTTCCTCTGTGGGCGCCCGAAATGGGTACGGAAAACATGGGCACAATGCCCAACAACAAATGCTGTCCCAAACCAACAGCGGCCGCGGTTGGGCGGGCGGCCTTCTGCCTCGAATGGACACAGGCCGCGGCGGCGTGGACAGCGAATCCGGCTCAAAAGGAACAGGAGCTGCGGTTGGCCATTGTACCCATTCTTTCCGGGCCCATTTCGGGCGTCCAGATCCTCCGAGGCCTGGGGTCCTCGTCCTCGCCCCCCGGCGGCCGCGTCGCCGCCTCCGGCGGGGCCCCGGCCGCCTGCGTGGCGGCGGCAGCCTGCACGGGCCGGCGTCGACCACAGTGCCCCTCCGGGAGCCACGGGTGCTCTTGCGAACGCGTGGGGGCGGTGCTTTCGTGCGGGGCGCGGATGGACATGATCGTACTGTGCCTCCTCCTCTTCCTCCTCCTCCTCCTCCTCCTCCACCCTCCTCCTCCACCCTCCTCCTCCTCCTCCTTTTTCTCATCGTCTTCTCCTCCTCTTATCATTCTTGTATTCCTATACTTATTGTTATTAGTATTACTCGTCTTGGTGTTAGTATTATTATTATCATTATTATTAGTATTATTATTATTATTATCATTGTTATCATTATTATTATTGTTATTAATATTACTAGTATTATTATTATTATTATTATTATTATTATTATTTTTTTTATTAGTAGTATTATTAGTATTAGTATTATTATTCGTATTAGTAGTAGTATTATTATTATAAGTATTATTACTATCAATATTTGTATTATTTTTAATATTCTTATTGATATTCATAGTAGTAGTATGCTTCTTAGTACTCTTATTCTCCTCCTCCTCCTCCTCCCTCCTCCTCCTCCTCCTCCTCCTCCTCCTCTCCTCCTTCCTCTCGTCCTCCTCCTCCTCTCCTCCTCCTCCTCTCCTCTCCTCCTCCTCCTCCTCCTCCTCCTCCTCTCCTCCTCTTCCCCCTCCTCCTCCCTCTCCTGTCGTCCACGCTCTCTCCTCATTATCCTCTCTCCTCCTCTCCTCCTCCTCCCTCCTCCTCTCCTCTCCTACCTCCTCTCATTCCTCCCTCTTCCTACTCCTCCTCTCCTCCTTCTCCTCTCCTCCTCTCCTCCTCGTGGCTCTCCTCCTCATTATCTACCTCCTTCTCCTCCTCCTCTCCTCCTCCTTCTCTCCTCCTCCTCCTCCTCCTCCTCCCATCCTCCTCCTCTCCTCCTCCTCCTCCTCCTCCTCCTCCTCCTCCTCCTCCTCCTCCTCCTCCTCCTCCTCGAAAACGGAAGATTGTGGAGCCCCTCGGGGTTCCAGAGCGCGCGCGCGAGGCTCTCACACTGAGTTCGCGCGTGCGTCTTTCAGTGGTGTGCGTACTCTGTGGCGTCTCGCCTCCTTCCGCCTCCCCCTCCCTCCTCCTCCTCCTCCTCCTCCTCCTCCTCTTCCTCCTCCTCCTTGTTTGATGTTAGTTTTGTTGTGTTTTTTTTTGTTTTTCTCTCTCTCTCTCTCTCTCTCTCTCCCCCCCTCAGAACAAATATGAAAAATATCTGAAGGGGGGGGGGGGGGGTCGGAGGCTAGAAAAAAGGAATGCGTCGTGGCCGCATCTGCCCTCCCCCTTTAGAAGGATTCCTATTGAACGCCCCCACAAGAAGGATTCATAGTGAAATCCTCTACAGAAGGATTCCTATCGAAACCCTCCACTGGATGATTCCTATTGAAATCCTCCACACTTGGATTCCTATTGGAATCACCCGCAGAAGAATTGATATTGAGATACTTCGAAAGAAAGAACCCCCCTTGGCATTGCATTGGCAATGGTTTGGCATCGCATTGGCATTGCATTGGCATTGCATTGGCATTGCGCTTGGCAGTGCGTTGCTAGCGTGCTTGCAATTCGCAAGCATCGCGCTGGCGAGTCCGAATGGAAGCCTCCACAGAAGGACTCCTATCGAAAATTTCTACCAGTACTCATATTGAAACCCTCCGCAAAACGGTTCATACTGACACACCCCACAGAAGGATTACATGCGACACCCTGCACACAAGGATTCCTATTGAAGTCTACCACAAAGGATTTCCCCATTGGCAGTGCATTGGCATTGGGTTGGGATCGCTTTGGCATTGGTGTGGCATTGCGTTGGCACTGCGTCGGCATTGGGCTGACATTGTGCTGGCGAGTTCCAACACCTCCCTTCGCAGAATGACTCCTGTTGGGCCCCCCATCAGAAGGATTTCGATTGAAGCATCCCGCAAGAAGGGTTCACATTGAACTCCCTCGCGGAAGGATTCCATTCGAACCCCTCCATAGAAGGATCCTTCTGGAACCCGATCACAAAGGATTTCCCCTATTGGCATTGCATTGGCATTGAATTGGGATCACTTTGGCATCGGTTTGGTATTGCTTTGGTATTGCGTTGGAATTGCGCTGGCGAGTTCTCGTGGCCCCCCCACAGAAGGATTCCTATGAACCCTTGCTTGATATTGAAATACTGCGAGAGAAAGAATCCCCCTTGGCATTGCATTGGCATTGGTTTGGCAATGGTTTGGCATCGTATTGTCATTGCGTTGGCATTGCGCTTGGCAGTGCGTTGCTAGTGTGCTTGCATGTCGCAAGCATTGCGCTGGCGAGCCCTAATGGAACCCTCCACAGAAGAACTCCGATCGAAACCTTCTACAAGGACTCCTACTGACACCCTCCACAGAAGGATTACATGCGAAACCCTCCACATAAGGATCCCTATTGAGATATACCGCAAAGAATTTCCCCCATTTGCAGTGCATTGGCATTGGGTTGGGATCGCTTTGGCATTGGTGTGGCATTGCGTTGGCACTGCGTTGGCATTGCGCTGACATTGCGCTGACGAGTTCCAACACCTCCCTTCGCAGAATGATTCCTGTTGGCCCCCCCCCACAAGAAGGATTCCGATTGAAGCATCCCACAAGAAGGGTTCACAATGAACTCCCTCACGGAAGGATTCCATTCGAAGCCCTTCATAGAAGGATCCTTCTTGAACCCGACCACAAACGATTTCCCCCATTGGCATTGCATGGGCATTGAATTGGGATCGCTTTGGCATCGGTTTGGCATTGCGTTGGTATGGCGTTGACATTGCGCTGGCGAGTTCTAGTGGCTCCCCCCACAGAAGGATTCCTATGAAAACCTTGCACAAGAAGGGATCATTTTGAAAGCCCCCACATGAAGGATTCAAAGTGAACCCCCCCGCAGAAAGATTCCAATCGAAACCCTCCACGGGAGGATTCCTATCGAAACCCTCCGAACAAAGGATTCGGAACCAAATCATCCATATAAGGATTCCAAGTGAAATCTGTTGGAAGACAGGAATCTCGCCATCGGCATTGCATTGGCATTGGTTTGGCAACGGTTTGGCATCGCATTGGCATTGCGATGACAGTGCGCTAGCAGTGCGTTGGCATTGCGTTGACAGTGCGCCGGCGGGTCCTACTCAAAGACTTTAAAAAAGGATTCATATTGCACACCCCCTCAAAAAAGATGCCTGTTGAATTCCCCCCACAAGATGGATCCAAACTGAAATCCTCAACAGAAGGGTTCCATGCGAAGCCCTCCATAGAAGGTTTCCTGTCGAAATCCCCCGGATAAGGGTTCTTAGAAGGATTGCTATTGAAATCTACCACAAACAATACCCCCAATTGGCATTGCATTGGCATTGGTTTGGCATTGCGTTGGCACTGCTTCGGCATTGCGCTGGCGAGTTCGAATGGCTCCCACCACAGAAGGGTGCCCTACCTTCCACAATAAGGCATCCTTTTGAAAGCCCCCCACATAAAATATTCATAGTGGAACCCCCCACGGAAGGATTCCAATCGAAACCCTCCACAGGGAGGATTCCTTTTGGAATCTACCACAACCGATACCCCCATTGGCATTGCATTGGCATTGAACTGGGATCGCCTTGGCATTGCGATGGCAAAGCTTTGGCATTGCGTTGGCATTGCGCTGGCGAGTCCTAATGGCTCCCTCCGTAGACGGACTCCTACTGAAACCCTCCACAAGAAGGATTCCGATTGAATCCCCCGACGTGAAGGACTCCTAGTGAAACCCTCCACATGAGGATCCCTATCGAAACCCTACACATAAGCATTGCTATTGAAATCCTCCGAAAAAGGATTCGTAGTGGCATCATCCACAAAGTATTCTTATTGAATTCCACCGAACGAAAGGATTCCCCCATTGGCATTGCATTGGCATTGGTGTTGGTTGGGAATGGATTTGTATCGCATCGGCATGCACTGGCCTGGTGCACGAGATAGACAAAGAGAGAGAGAGAGAGAGACAAAGAGAGAGAGAGAGAGAGAGAACACTAGAGAACGATATAACGAGGAAAGATGGTGTGAAGGGATCACGGCGAAAAGAAAGATGGCAACAAACAATCAAACTTTCAGGGTGAAAGAACGTTTCACCCGATAAAAAGAAGTATGAAAACGACAAGGGGCTCCACGATCCCCCGGCCTCTCCTCCTCCTCCTCCTCCTCCTCCTCCTCCTTCTCCTCCTCCTCC